TCAAATCTATTCTTTAAATGGTCTCTACATTCAGGAGAGATGTAATCAAGGTCATATTTTGGCTCACTTCCTGGTCTCCCTTAGCTACAGAATCTTCACTAACATTTATTATCACTTTTAATTATGGAATAATGTGTGATAAATATAGATATAAATTAGTTAAATGTAATATTGCTTAGATTATATGAATACTAACAACAAAATTATTTTGTAAAATCATTCTACATTGAATTACATTATTAGTTATAACATTATGAGTAACAGGATAGAAGCCTTTTTTTATTTTCCTCTTTCTTTTAATTCCTTTAAGTATAGTGATCAAGATTTCCACAAATGCAGGAGATTGGAGGCAGTAGTGATTAGAAATAAATAATACCAAGGCTTCATGACTGGATGGGGACAGGTTGGGGAATCTGTTGTCCAAAGTACATGCATGAAATGTGGGTTCTGCCACTCAATTTCAATATCAGAGCCCAGGGAAATCCACCAAAGGCTGCAGAACTAAGAAATGCCAAGGAGCAGACCATTAATGTACATTTTTTTTTCCATTATGATTGTTGTTATTAATTTTTTTTTAAATCAAAAGCAATACAACAGATCAATTTACAGTCAGAATGAAGTATAAAAATTAATGTATAAAATCATATCTATAAATTCATGTAGAAAAGCCTTACTCATGATCATTGGGTATATACCAAAGCCAATGAAACTGTTGGACTGTCCTGGGGGATCTGCAAGCTCCTTTATACCTATTGAAAAGGAACTTGTCCTTTAATTTTTGACACAGAGGATTTATTCAAGAGAAATAATCTAGTTGAAGATACAGACTTTATGCATAAAGATGTTATTAATAATGGTGTTGTTTGTTGTTGTTGTTATGTGCTGTCTAGTCGACCCCAACTCATAGTGACCTCTCCTTGGGTTTCCGAGGCAGTTATCACTAAGGAAGTAGGTTGCCAAACCTTCCTTCTGAGGAGTGGCTGATGGGTTTGAACCCCCAACCTTCTGGTTAGCAGTCAAGTGCCTTAGGCACTATGCTACCAGAGCTCCTATTCAAAATGGTAGGAAATGGAAAAAGTTAATGCCTAACATAAGAAAATGATTGGATAAATTATGAGTATACAACTGATAAACTATTATGTAATAAAATCATTACATAGGAAGACCAAACAGAAACATTTAAAATGATGAGCATTAATGTTAAAAAAAGGAGCAAAAAGCTATGATTTTAATTATGCAGATATTGCATTATATATGCCTACTGACACAACAAGATCACAGAAATAGTACATGCATTAGGAAAATGAAATTTTAGATGATTCTTAAAGTTTTCCTTAGTGCTGTTTGTGCAATAAATAAAAATGAAGAGAAAAAAGTTGGTGGCATTTATATAGTTATAAAAGTATCCTGTATTTAAACAAATTTTACCCAATGACAATAGAATTTTGATAATTTATGAAGCTATAGATGAAAAACACTATTTAGTCATTTTACTATTGGTTCATTTTTCTCTGCTTAAAATTTCCATAAGAAGATACTTTTTAAATGAAATAATAAAATATAATAAAGCAAAGGCTTTTTTAAGAAAATAAATACAAAAACAAAGAAACTTTCTTCCATAATATACACACCTTACAAATAATGTCTGGTTCTTTTTCACTAAACAAAATTTATTTGAGGCCTCTCAATCACTGAATCAGATTGGTTATTCCTCAGATTGTGCTATGGAAAAACAAAGAATTTACAGATTATCATAGGAGAGCAGGAGAAAGCAGTGAAAAACTGGTCAGTTTGGAGACATTCTCCCAGAGGGGCCTGGCCTCAATATTTCCATTTCATTAGCATTAACAGATGCAAACATAGTCACATCCTACCCCCTGGGGTTCTATTTTAACCCAATTATTCAAGCCAGAAACCTAGAGTTTGGTTGAGTTTGAGCTCTCCTCTCCCCACAAAGCTGCTGATTGTATCTCCCACATATGTGGGTCTATCCATTTCTACCCATCTCCAGTGCTATCAGCACATAAGAAAATAACTCTCATTCACACAAGTGTTGTCATAAGTCAGAATTGACTCAGTTCCACCTAATAACAACATATACAGGGCACTCTTGCAAGCACGTTGTATACACTAACTCATTTAATCCTTACACATAATTTCAGTTTATAGAGAGGAAATCCAAGTTAAGAAACTTTGCCTATTTGGTGAACTAGTAAGTGGCAAAGCTGGGATATAAACACAGGCAGGCCAGCTCCAAATTACACACACTGAACAACTTGTGCTGTTTCTGCTCTTTTACTATCATAAGCAAAGCTGCAAGCATGAACCATGTTTCCCATTTGTGCAGATGCATTTATAGAATAAACCCCAGAAGCAGGTTTATTAAGTATTTAATTGTATCTTTCATTGCCTTTCTCTGTCCCTGAAATACAAGCATTTTGAAGACAGGGCATATACGTTTGTCCTATATACATAGCAGAAATACAATACATATTTTGTTCCTTCATTCATTAAACAAATATTTTTTGAACATCTGTTGTGTGCCAGATACTGTTTTAGGTGCTGAGGACTGTATTAGTGAAGAAAACCAAAAAAAAAAAAAAAAAAAGCCTGGTCTTATGGATCTTACATATTAATAGGATTCAGAAACAATGAACAAGTAAGTACATCTAAGGTATGTTAAAAAAAAAAAAAAAAACTGACATCAGGTAGATTCCAACTCGTAGCAACCTACAGGATAGAAGAGAACTGCCCGATAGGGTTTCCAAGGCTGTAAATCTTTACAGAAGCAAACTGCTGTATCTTTCTCCCACAGAAATGATGGTTTCAAACTGCTGACCTTTTGGTTAGCAGCCAAATGCTTTTAACCATTGCGCCACCAGAGCTCCTTATGGTATATTGCTGTTGTTGTTGTTATGTGCCGTCGAGTCAAACC